TTTATTTGCAATTTAAGTAAACGTGTGCTACAAAAATTTAATGACTTGGTTGAAATAAAATACTCACTATTTGATTTTGGGTTAGCGTAAATATTACAATGGAAAAAAGCGAGAAAGCCTGGAAAATTTGATATGCTAAAAAGAAAACTGAATTAACACTGTGCTGAATTTCTTGCGCAATCATTAAAAGAGCTAATTTGCAAACTATGGATTTGACCCAATAAAAGATTTTTACAGTCAAGAACGATTTTTACAATAAAGTGAGGGTTATTCGCTAAATCAAATCACTGAACAATAGTAAACATTATCGGGGATAGTGGTGAATTACCTGTATACTCCAGGAACTTCACTAGAACCCACTATAGCACAACGCAAATCACGTTTTGAAATGTAGCAAAATCTCTGAACACTTCCTGTAGTCTAACGATCAATGGGACGCCCGCAAGAATAACCCCAAATGCATTGAACGAAATTTCACCCTCAATATCACCGATATCAAATGATATTATCTGTGGGAAATACAATAGTACTCTGCACGTTAGATCCCCAAGTCTTTATAGGACATTCAGACATTAGATAGGACACTTTGCTACTCCTTTCAGGAAGCTTAAGAAAATCCAACTGGTGGTCAAAGACCCAAAATGGTCTGCTCAAGCCTGCCGGGCACCAGATGCCAACACAACTAAGCTGGCATCTGGCTTTTGGCAATCATCTGCATATTCTACTCCCCCGCTAAAATACCGTAACTGTGGGAAACCTTCAATGACACACTTAGCCAAGAGTTCCTTAGACAAAACACACCCAAACAGGCCTGCCTCACATGCTGCAGCTACCAGAAGCAATTTTTGTGAGCATGTTAGACAATACAAAGCTTTTCGTCTGCCATAGCCAGTTGTTTTTTTAGGAACAAATCACAACACACCTCTACTGCCACATCCAAGAAGGACAGGCCAATGGAAGAATAGGTTATGGATATATATAGTTGAGGAGCAGAAAGCCATTACAGATTATATAGGCTATACTATTCAGTTCGAAATAAAAAATTATAATCTCAATCTCAGTTCTGATTCGGTTCTTTACCAAGTGACGTAAAACTCTCTGTTGTGCATCCATTAGACTTTTAAAACTCATTAAGCCCTTCAGGTTCGTTAACTTTATTAAAATATGTTCTAAAAAGCCATAATATGAAATATTTTATCACATTTCCAACAAGAATAACTGAAAATTCCAAAACAGCCATAGACAATTTTTTCTAAAAAAAAAAGGCTAAAACAACTTTTTATGAAGATCAAATAATATAAATCATCAAATGTCAAAAAAACTGTTTGGAACATATTCAGAAGTTGGAAAGAATAATAGATCAATAAGAAAGTTTGTGTTAAATGATGGCTTAAATGATATAACTAATCCTAAGGACGTTTCAAATATGTTTAATAGGTACCTATTTTACAAATGTTGTTAAGAATATAACTACTAGCAGAATATAGGAAAGAAATAGAAAAGAGCTTATTCTTAAGTCCAAGTTTTAGACTCAATCCTGTAAATAAACATGAGGTGGAAAAAGTCATTAGCAGTTTGAAAAATAAGCTTTCAAGTGGCTATGATGAAGTTCCTACTACAGTATTTAAGGGAGCAAGCCAATACTTAACCAAAGTTTTATGTCACCTGATTAATTCTTCTTTCATTTCTGGCTTGTTTCCGGCACAACTTAAAATAGCAAAAATAATTCCAATTCATAAAAAAGATTATCCTAAAAATGTTTCTAATTATAGGCCCGTAGCTCTGCTTCCTTCTGTTTCCAAAATATTTGAGAAAATAGTTTCTGTACAATTAACATCATATCTAGAGCAACATAACTTATTTGATGACTTACAGCACGGTTTCAGGTCAGGAAGATCTGTTATTAGTGCTGCAGTATCCTTCATAGAATCAGTAATAGAGTCAGTTGACGAGGGCAAACATACAACGGGTATATTTATGGACCTCTCAAGAGCATTTGACAGTGTTAATCATCTAATTTTAATAGAAAAATTAAAGAATATTGGCATTTCAAAAATATCTCTAAATTGGTATAATACATTTCTGGTAAATAGGTATCAGTATGTAGAAGTAAAACATTTGTCACCGAATAACAAATTAACGAATATAGCTTCAGACCTGGAACTAGTAAAATATGGTGTCCCACAGGGACCAATATTATGTAATATAGCAAATGGAAATAAAATTTTTTGTAGAGCTAGAAAATTTAAATGATTACTTAAAAAAACATAATTTGTTTTGTTTTGTTGTGTTGTGTAGTGTCTAAACGCACTAAAAACTAACTTCATGCAATTTAAAACTACCCAAAATAAAAACAAACGGTATCAGCATTCTGACACATACTTTCTCCCATAAGCTTGCCAACAGCCTTTATCATGTGTAAGAGTAAATGTACGGAAATGGGATTTGTACAATTTTGTTCAGAATTTAAAGACTATAACATACAAAAATGTTATCAAAATCATTCGGGCTATTTTTGGGAAAATCCGATTTTTCTGTTATTTTATGGGAAAATAACATAATTTACAATAACTTTTGACCCGTAATTTTTACAAAAATGGGATTTGTACCATTTTGTTCAGATTATAAAGGACAATAACATACTAAATTTTTATCAAAATCGTTAGGGCCATTTTAGTGAAAATCCTATTTTTCCGTTATTTTATGGGGTTTTATGGGAAAATCCCCATTAAAAATCAAAATTTCCAAAAAATGAAAGAACTATCAAAGTTGTAAGGACCATAACATACTATGTTAAATCAAAACCGGATTTTTTTCTAAAATCCTATTTTTTGTTATTTTATGGGGGTTTTTATGGGAAAATAACGTAATTTACAATAACTTTTGAACCGTAATTTTTACAGAAATGGGATTTTTTACCATTTTGTTCAGAATTTAAAGGGCTACAACATACTAAATTTTTATCAAAATCGTTCGGGCCATTTTTTTTAAATATTCAATTTTTCCGGTTTTTTATGGGTTTTTATGAGAAAATCCCCATTAAAAATCTAAATTTCAAAAAAATGAAAAAAACGCCTGGAGATACCATGGATTAGAACCTACATACCAAATTTCATCGAAATCGGACCACAGGTGTAGTCCCTAGCTCTGTAGGCTACACATCCAGACACACACACACACACACACACACACAGACATCACTTCGAAAACCATTTTTATTGGGTCCAGGGGGACCCAAAACGAATATATCCACTCAAAACTTAAACTCGAAAATTTTGACGAAAACAATACTTTCTCCATATACTATGGTATAGGCGGAGAAAGTAAAAATGAGAATTTAACTATTATGTCAGATTCACAGATGATTGAGGAGAAGACAAGTACATGCTTCCTTGGTTTAACAGTGGATGCAAATTTAGATTGGAATGATCATGTAGGTAGGGTGTTAACAAAAGTTAACTCTGGTATATATGCTCTTAGGAAAATGTCGTTATACTGTGGATCGGAGACACTACGTCATATCTATTTTTCATATATTCACTCACACATAAGTTTTGGATTGTGTCTTTTTGGAGCAACACGAAAAATAAATATGGACAGTATCTTAAAAGAACAAAAAAGAGCCATAAAAATTATTCTTAAACTAAATTATGATCAATCAGCCAAAGAGGAACACTTTGTAAATTTTAAAATCCCCACAGTTTATGGACAATAAATTTATGACTGCATACTAATTTCTAAAAATGAGGCAGTAAGTTCTAAGTCTTCTATATGCCACAAATACAATACAAGACATAAAAATGAAATAATCCCAAATCATCATAGATTAAAACTTTACGAGGAAAAACCAACATATTCGGGAAAGAAATTCTTTACGTATTCACCAAAAAATATAAAGTCTGAAAAGAATATTGAAAAATTTAAGAAGAAACTCAAAGAATTCATAATAAACAAACCAATTTATTCTTTGGATGAGTTTTTCCACCTTTTTTCACAAAAGAACTAAAAGTATATTTCAGGACAAATTATCTTAATAGTTAAGGTTCGGAGACTGATGTATTTTTAATGTAATTGTTTGACACTATGTGTACCTATGTGCATGAAATAAATAAAGAATTTTTTATTTGATTTGATTTGATCAGAAACCTGAACGTTAAGCAGGCCCCAAGATTGGTTGTAGCTCACTTGGGCAACCACACTAAGTCATCATGGTGAAGTTGGCTGACTCCGGTCAAACTGTTGTCACATACCACGCAATAGTTCTCAATCCTTTCAAACTGACTAAGAAGGAAGTTCATGTCAAAGTTACCTTTGCCATAACTATAAACAAAGCACATGGACAGACGCTAGCGAAGGAAGGATTGTTCATGCCAGACCCCGGTTTTTTCACTCATACAGTTAGTTGTTTGTGGCGTTGTCAAGTGTATGTTTTTTTTCAAAACTATGTGCAAAAAAGCGATCAACACTAAAAAAATCGTATTTGACCATAACATCACTTCAAACATAGTGTTCAAAGATGTCCTGTTAACATGTAAATATTTAAATAACTAAAAATTATGTTTTGAAAAAGTTAATAATCTAAAATGTACACCCACATCTATTCCTGACGTAAGGACTCATACCTAAATCAATGATGCACTTACTACGCAGTATTGTATGTTGTGTACTTAAATTGTGGGATTTGAGGAGGGTACAGTACGAATGCTTCGCACGGGTCGGCTAGTTGTTAATAATTCTTTTGACTTTTTTTGCTCATACTTATTGAATAAAATTCATATTGACATGTTACCTGTATTTAATACTATCCGCCATGAGTACTTTGAGAACTAATTAAGAAGTAAATATTAATTGAAAAAAATAACAGAGAAGTGAAGCGACAAAATGCTAACAACGTTGGAACATGTTTAACTAGTGAGGTTCTGTTATACCTCTCTTAAATTAATTTCTTTGTACACTTTTTGGATATTGTTTGAATTAAAATTAGCTTTTCTCTTTTTTAGGAATAACAGCAAAACTGTATTGTTTTGATCCTCAAACTGAAGATGTAAAAGTGAAATTCCTAGGCGAGTTTAAAACTCCCGGGAACAATGCTTGCCTGGTCAACAAGACGATATACAGTTTTGGAGAGGAGGATGGTGTGCAATCCGTAGAAGAGTACAGTATCAAAAAAAGAACTTTCACAACACTTTGGCATCACAAGCGGGCAGATGAGGACGAGCCTTCTGTCTTCTGTCTCAACCAAGCGGCTGGCTGCTTTTCCTTTCCTAAATATTACTAAATTTGTATGAAACAAAAACACTAACAATTATTATCACTGACACAAATCAATGAACCAAACACTGACACAAATGAGGAAAACCCTTCATGCTTAGAATTAAAGCAGTTTATAAATATAATTTTATTTTAAAACTGTATTTGCCTTATATAAACAATATACCTTACATCAGAGTTTCTCAAAGTGTTGTCCGAGGCCCCTAGGGGTCTGCGGGCAGGTTTTAGGGGGGTCGCCAAAAACATTTTAATCGAATTTATTTTTCACACCAAAAGCGCCTATTTCTGAAAATAACAGTTTCCGTTTGCATTACAAAATGCATTCGTAGCAAGCTCTACAAGTGCCTATGAGCAGGTAAATATTGGGTTAATGGTGTTAGGGGGTGGGGGTAGTTGTAGGGGGCAGTGGCGGCTAGCTCATAAGGACTCTCGGACGCCGCCCTCCCAACAATACATAAATAAATTACATTTTAATATTAATATAATTCAGTTAAATGTAATTAAATTTACTTTAACGAGTATTTCAAACTATATACAACATAAATGTATCAAATAATTGGATAATTTAATTCAGTAAAGACTAAATTTTGATCGTCGCTTGCTTAGTAAGGACGGCGCGGACGGCGGCCAGACCGTCCCAATCCCAATACATGTAGTCTTATGGCAGAACAACCAAACCGCTCTGAGGGTGCCATGACGCCATTCCATTGCTTTAGTATAGGCGCTTTGGGGCAGAGTCCAAAGTTGCGCGCACACTCTTAAATCAGGGCAGCCACCACAATCTGGATATTCTGTATGGTAAGCTACAGTTATGAAGGGTAGAACTGATGTTGGCACACCTGTTTGTCATAACTCAAACCATCTAATTTCTAAAACTAGAAATTAGAAAACAACTGTGCTAGCCTCCAAATGTTATTTTGGTTTGGTGTTGATGTTTAGTGATTAATGAATAGTGATGTAGAAGTACTGTTTGTGCGTGTATTTAAGCAAAATACTAACATTGTATACCCTATTAAATTGATTTCACATCCAGTTTAGTTAAAGGTAGGCCATGCATTTCTGGTTAATTAATATTATTGAAGTACAATTTGTTAGGTACCGGTATAAGTTTATGGTTTAAATGTAATTTGTTTTCGTAAGCGGTTTTACTTTTTTGGCTTTCTATTCCTTAATACCTAAGATATTTTATAGAATACTAGCAGAGTACCCGTCCTTCGTACGGGGTAGGCATATAAGTACAAAATGCTTATTGCAGTTATGGGTGAGGACATGGTTTAAGAAAGGTTGGTTCTTTTGTTCTACCACTGCCCCTGAACCATAGAAAAAAGTAAAGGTCTCATTATGTACCACAGCTTTTTGTTGGTATTTGGTTCAAATTAGCTGTTGTCATAAATGCAAAAAAATAATTGTGCTGCACCCTGTAGGTAAACCTTAAAACCTGTTAGTGCTATTTAATATCATAGAACTAACTTGTGCAGGGTGAAATTCTTTAATTCCCTTTGGATGTATTTTTAAATAACTTCTTGATCAGCATCGTACGTGTTATTAAATTTACGGAAAGTAAATGAAAGATACCTCTTATAACACTTACCACATATATTTATACTTATACTGTTACTCACAATACGGTAAATATACAAGAAAGATGGTAAGTGGTGATCAATTTCGATTAGACACTCCAATCATCATCAGACCCAATAGGCGGACCCAATATATTTACCGTCTTGTGAGTAACAGTATAAGTGTAAATATATGTTTAAGTGTTATAAGACGTATCTTTCATTTACTTTCCGGATATATTTTTATCAAACTTGGCAAATTTATTTATTCTATACTAAGCTAATAGTATTTTCCTAAAATCACACTTCGTAACCCTCTCTGTAGCAGCATAACCTAGATACTCGTTAAACCTAATGTTATTGTATTGGATATAATTGAAAATAGGCTGCAGGTGTGCTGCGGCGGGGGTAACATGGAATTGTAATTTATGTAGAAAGAAGACTTTGTGGTAGTACATGATTAACTCTAAGTTATATAAGATACTAAAAAAATCCATCCCCAATTAGTCCCAATTAGTATTTGGGGTCCCAATTAGTAGCGTATGTCGCTTAAAAATTTGACTGGCGCTACTATTCGTATTCGCTAGCTGCTATACCCGTGCCTTGCAACGGGGTCAGTATGCAAAAGAGTTATTGCTGGTTCTTTGAAAATGCCAAATGGTTTCACCCCCTACCATTTATTTTAGAAACGAAATTGAACTGTATAAGCCTACTTAACTTGATAATAGTAATAGGTCTAGTACTTTTTTGCTAACTCATACTGTGAATACTTATTTAGGCTACCTAGGATACAAAGCCAATGATATATTTTAAGGTACCGGTATAATAAAAAGAACCTGTTTAACACGTAGAGTGCGGCCGTTCCCGATCGGGTACGGCGCTTGGCCCCCGTACGGTGCGTCCGTACCCCATTGGGAACGCTCGGTAATGCCTTTTGTATATCTTCGTTTTTGCTCTAGCGTCGGCCGAAAGCGGACCTATACAACGTTAGCGTGTAGTATGTGACTTGCATTTTGTTGTGGTGTAGGTTGGTAGTAAATTTCCCCGTAAAATCCCCGTCTGGCAATCTCAAAAGTCTTCTTTTTGTCCCGTCTTTTTCCCTCCATTTGGCAATACAATTCCAATGGGACCGGCTACGTTCCAAGCAGTGCTGCTATCTGTGGGTGTTTAGCGAACTACATCGACTCTCGTTGTAAAGCAGGACATCCCCTCACGTTATTTGCTATTCGTCAGACCAAAATTGAAAAGGCCAATCACACGCGGCAATCGGGTTTACTCGACGCTGAGGGCTGCGCCGCACTGGGGATACGCCCGCTATTTGACGTGCCGCAGCGAACGTGTTAATGGTTTGGACTGTAAACGAAAAGCTATAACAATAGTTCCAAACCTGTCAACAGTGTAGTTTTCTAACATACTTTAGGGAAATGGCAATCAGGCAAATGGAAATTCGCTTAGTCTATAGGTTTGCTGCAGCAGGGATATTCAATTACTGTTTACACAAAAATAAATCTAAAACATAATTCTCATACAACTCAGGATAAGGGCATAGGTTGATACGGCAATGATTGTAGAATATTAATTATTTCCTATATCTATGAATAATTTCTTTTTACAATGAAATATTCACAGTAAAATATTATTACAGCATATCACAAATATTAGAACAAGCTCAGTATAATTGATTATAAACATAAACAAATGATGAAACTGAAAGAGTCCTATTATAATGAAATGACACTAACATATAGTTTGACAGCTCCATTTAAGTAATGTTAAATAATGTTTACATTCAGGCTAGTGACATCATTATTTGAAATATGGTCCTTAGCCTCTCTGTTCTAATATTCGTGCAGTATTTAAATAAATGTTTGAACCAGCTGTGTGGAATTGTGAAATCAAAATTCATTTGACAGTTAGTTCTGCTTGTTTACATTTTTATACTTTGCAGGATTGTTCCTTGTTACCATGGATACCATCAATCAATATTTACTTTTAAATCTCTCACCTCAAATTTTGAAAGCCCACGGGGCAGAGCCCTTGGACAATATCGAAGCGGGAATAGTTCTATATGTATCCTCAGAGCTGTAGCTTCATTTTTGTGCAATTTGAGCCCAGTCGGTTCAGTAGTTTTTGAGATTATCTCATACAAACACACACACAGACACCACCTCTTCTTTATAATAGTAATAATAATAATAATAATAGATAGATTATCATTATTTTGGTAACGTTATTTTCAGGACAGACCCTTTAAAAAAATAACTACCCTGTAACATACTTGAACTTGAACACTTATTAAATAAATAAATATAATATGCATACAGCTAGAAAATGGCTGGATTGCTTCCCTTCTAAGGCTTTATTATTACTGTATTTAATTTTCAACGTCGAGTCAATATATAACACGATGAATTTGTTTTCTAAATTCATATGTTTTTGCGGGGCATTGAGCCGCACAGGTTCACTAGTTAAGTTAAAAACAATAGGAGCCTTGGACTTGGAAACAAGTTTGAATATATATATATCATAGGCTAGGCCTATGTGTGTTTGTATTACAAATTTAAGAATTAAATATATAAAATTATTTGACAAACGTGAATGATGTTAGGCTTTTGTTTATATATAAAAATATACAGAGCCCTCCCACCACATATGAACACCAGCCGCTACTGGTAGGGGGTCCGTATTAAATACATAATTAATTACGGGGGTCCTTGAGTTGGTGAAGTTTGAGAAACCCTGCCTTACATATTTTATTATTGAGTACCTGGGGACCGAGCTTTGGTCAAATGATTAATATCCTCTAAGGGCAGTCTTTGGTCAATTTAATTGATCTACTTGTTTTATAGTATATATTTAATCTGTTAAAATTGTAGTTGATACTTGATAAGCACTATAAAAAATATTTAACAGGCCATAAGACCATTTTGAAACTGATTTTTAACTCAACAGTATAGCCTTCTTTAAATTGCAATTGATACATAATAAATATTGTAGCCTACTGTATGCACAATAATTTGTTTATCATACTTCTATAGTTACCCTTCAATATGTAGAAAATGCTTGAGCTCTAGTTGTAAAGGTTTATAGAGTATAATTCGAATTATAAAGGTCGTAACTACTGTAACTGTTAGAATGCAACACCTGATGAGTATCTAGAATAACTGACACTTCCAATGTTACACAATAAAAGCATGGGGCTAAAAATGGCATTTTGATGTTCAATTAAGTTATTCACTCCATAATACATACAAAGGGTGCTAAAGTTACTAGGTGGCGTTCGCAGAGGCATCCACAAAATTGAGCGGAGTCATCAAGGGTTCATATTATATTGTTTTTGTCATACTGCAGTAATAACAATCGTTTTTAATGCATGCGTTGCGGGTCTAAAGTAGCATTTTTACTCTTTAGGCAGTAAAAATCGTTTTTAGCCTCTATGGAGTAAAAATCTGCTGTTGTCAACTCAGTTGTAAATTTCAATTGTAAACGATTGCATGTATCGAAAATATGTATCGATTAATCGATTCGTGCTTCGTAATCATTTTAACCTACAGTCTACAGTCTCTTCCCATAGCATTTCAGCA